GTGGCCGTGAGCGGGAATCGAACTCGTTTTCGCTGGGTGCATAGCCCATGCGCAGCACGCCAACCACGACACTTAGCGTTCCCACCGGGTGATCGATATATATGTCCTATATATAATATAAACACACAGGGCGCAGGTATTATTATTTTGTTTTCTTTAACCACAGAGCCACGGCTGAGTTTCACATCTCTCCACGGTCTGCCGTATAATGGGCACTCTTTTAAGTGTCGCGGAGTGGAAAATAAAAGAATGAAGTTGAAAAGAGAATTCCAGAACCCCCGTTCCTGCCACTGCCACTGAATTCCTTCTCGCGTCTCTCTCACTCGCCGTCTCGGATTGTTATTTTATTTTATTTTTAACCCTCCCTATAATATTCTGGTCAAACCTCTCTCCCTCCTCTAAGTGGCTTCCGTAAGCCGAGCCCGGCTTTACGTTTCGTGGAGAAATCACACGCGAGCCACGAGCGCGATTTATTTATTTATTGACCACCCCCCCCCCCTCGTAACCCCCACCCCTCATCCCTACCCCCACTCCCCCCAAGGCCCATCTTATGGAATACATTCCTTGCCTCTTTGGGAGAAGGGGCCAAACGTTAGACAGACGTTCCGTGATGGATCGCATTCCGGTCATCCTAAGTGCGGGCAACAGAGGCTTATTTATTTATACATATTTTGGGGGCGGGGTCGTTGAGGGGGAAAACGGGTTCATGGTCGCGTTTGGATGAAGAGGCCCTCCTGCGCGTGCGTGCGTCCGTGTACGATCCCAGCAGGGCCAAGGCTGCGTTGGCTGGGTCATTGTAGCCGTCCCCCCCCGCATGCCCAGCCACGGCACGCCCAAGCGGTTAGGGGGAGGGGGGGTGGTGCTGGACGGGCGCCGCACGGGCTGGAGAAGAGATGGACCGATATGGAGCTGGGTGGACTTGCCGATGACCGGTACCAGCGGTGTCGAGATTGGCCTTTGTTGAGGAGGAGGAGGCGGCTCGTGAAGGACGCTGCCTCTGGGCAGTTGGGAGGCGGTCGTCCTCCAGCGACAGGACAGAGAAGCGACGCTCACAACAACGAGCGGAGCGCCGGGTGGAATAAAACGTAGCGAGTTGGCACAGGTGGTGCATCTGCCGGTCGTCTCAGTCAGTCGACCCGTGGCACCTGCTGGGTCTGCCACGTGTGACCTCCTGACAACCGCTCTTCGGCACTGCGACACGTGACCTCAAAGTGCACCTAGCCTGGCACAAGCGCCGTGGTGACGTCACCGCCACTGAGTAGCGATTGGCGGTTGTTGTTGTTGTTGATCCAAGCCTCAAATTAATACCTGATAATGGGGATGCCGATAGCCAATATTATAACGATGACGATGTTGACCATGTTGGCGATGATGACGATGTTAACGATGTTGGCGATGATGATGTTGACGATGTTGGCGCTGATGATGATGTTGACGATGATGATGTTGACGAAGTTGGTGATGTTGGCACGCTCCCTCCACCTCGCCAGTTGAACCCCGTGCTCAGCTCTCTGGGGTTTGTTGTTGTTGTGATGTGATTGATGTTGTTGTGATGTGATTGTTGTTGTTGTGATGTGATTGATGTTGTTGTGATGCTGCGTCCGACGTTCTTCTTCATGCCAAGTCGAGGCGCATGGAATGCGACGTCTCCGTCTGTTTTTAGTTCCATTCCCCGATCCGAGCAGCAGCAGCAGCATCACAGCCCTTACAGGGACAATTCAGAAAACTGGGATTGATGACCGTCCGTACGTCGTGATGCTCATCACAATCATCATGGCCTTTACCCTTAGCCATGATCATTCCACTGCTGGGACGAAGGCATCCCTCCCAAGCCAACGCCACAATGTAACATATCAAGCTATCCGCCTCCACGTCTCATCGCTTCATCTCCTCCCCGTGGACGTGCCCTTGGCCGTATGCGCGTGCGTTGACATTCCTTCGCGGCGTTCTCAGCGGCTCACGAAGCAGAGCTCGAGATTTAGACAAAGAGCCACCGTGTAGCCTTGAACAGGCGGCGTGCGCAAGTGCTGTTAGCGAGCGCCGATGACACGCAAGATAAAGGTTCCCCGTACAGCCAGACAGACGGTTTGGGCAAGTGCTGAGAGCGAGTACTGACGAAGGCAGGGAGAGATGTGTGCCCAACACACAGCATCGCCCGGCCGCCTTTGTCTCCCCAGCGACGACGTTTACAGCACCCCGTGCCGCAGATTCTGATCCGAGGCTGAGTTTACCGAGCGGGAATGTCCATCGCTTCAGATATCCGTCACTCGAATCAAACTCGGCGGTCGCCGAGCTAACCGCTGCGCCATAAAGATAAAGATCCCCCGTATAGCCTGTAACAGACTGTAGGGGCAAGTGCTGTTAGCGAGCACCTATGAAGGCCGGCACGGCACACGAGGGGGTGGGTGGCCAGCACCACGCCCGGACGCCTTTGTCTCCCCAGTGACGATGTTTACACATAGCACCAGGTACTCATTTGAGGCCGAGTCGACCTAGGGGAGGCCCAGGACCGGTTCAGATAATCGTCACCGGTGTTTGCCGTGAGCGGGAATCGAACCCGGGTGGCCAGGTTTGTAGCGCAGCGCGCTAACCGCTACACCACCGCTGCGCCACCGCTCTTGACACACAAAGACAAAGATCCCCCATATAGCCTGTAACAGACTGTAGGGGCAAGTGCTGTTAGCGAGCACCTATGAAGGCCGGAACGGTACACGAAGGGGTGGGTGGCCAGCACCACGCCCGACCGCCGTTGTCTCCCTAGTGGCGATGTTTACACACCGCACCAGGTACTCATTTGAGGCTGAGTCGACCTAGGGGAGGCCCGGGACCGGTTCAGATAATCGTCACTGGTGTTGGCCGTGAGCGGGAATCGAACCCGGGTCGCCAGGTTCATAGCGCAGCGCGCTAACCGCTACACTATCGCTCTTGACACACACACACAGCGACACACACACACAGCGACACACACACACACAGCGACACACACACACAGCAACACACACACACAGCGACACACACACACACACAGCGACACACACACACACAGCGACACACACACACACACAGCGACACACACACACACACAGCGACACACACACACACACAGCGACACACACACAGCGACACACACACAGCGACACACACACACACAGCGACACACACACACACACAGCGACACACACACACACACAGCGACACACACACACACAGCGACACACACACACAGCGACACACACACAGCGACACACACACAGCGACACACACACACAGCGACACACACAGCGACACACACACACAATAAAATGTGTTTACCCTTCAATTGCGCACGCGTGGGAGGGGGGGAGGGCTCTGCTCTACGTCGGTGCTTTGCTTCGTTCCCAGAGACCGCTCCATATCAGAAACGATGACTTGGCTTCCATATTTCGAGTTTTCGAGACGCAATAAATACTGCAAATATGACCATCAATATACCAAAAAACAATAATACTACGACTACCATCATCATCATCATCGCTCACGCTGATAATCGTTACGCTGCGGCTGCTGCTGTTGGCGTTGACGTTAATATTAAAGTCGCAACTTGTGTGTGTCGTGCACCCCACCTCCACCCGACACACAGCCAAATAATTGTTTCGGCAATTGTTAAAATGTGTGCGGATCGCTCTGCCAACACTACCGCTGCTGCTGCATGCCGCTGCTATCGTGTTGTTTGTATTGTATTTGTTGTTGTTGTTGTTCCTGGACATCTGTGAAAAAGAGCTTCATAGCTCATCGGATTCCTCCAGTGTTGATAAATATTCTGAATATGATTCTGCGGCTGAGGCGGTAATCATTTGGGCGCGTTTGCTCGTCACGTGACAACTTTAGATGACAGGGTGCTTAAAAAAAACGTGAACACTTCGGAGAATTTGCAACAATAACCACGTGACATGTGTTGCTGCCTCCAGGCTCTGCAGATCACCTGGAGAAGATTCCAGGCACGCGTTGACAACGACGTTTTTTTGAAGCTATTAACATACATTTGTTATCATGTTACAATGTATTATTATCGGTTTTATGTTCCATTAAAAACGATGATCCCATGTATGTGTCAACATTTTTTTGAAACACCTTGTAATTGTCCGTGTCGGGTGGTGGAGGGATGTACAACACACACATTTAGTTCAGGAGATCTGAACCCCCGCACAGAAATAAGTTACGAATTAAAAGAAGTAATTTCTTCGCATTTGTTTTTGTTGTTGTTTAGACAAAACAGATTTTGCAAACGCAAATTAAATGAGCGGTTTGAACGCAGACTCAAACTTTGCTTGCAGGGCACGCGCGCCGGCAGATCTGCCTGCACATGCACAGCCACGTTAGTTAATCCACTGCTGGATGAGGGCCTCCCCCACGCCGTGCGGGTTCACGGAGGGAGGGGGTCCCGTAATTCATGACCATACTTCACCACGCAGGTTAGCACGTGTCGGTGAAGGGCGGGGAGCATAGACGTGGGAGCATAGTGGAGTATAACAGTGCGGATTGCGATGCACAACTCCACTGCTACACACAAGGGTCGCTACGCAGCAGTCTAGAGCACATGTAAGGTGTGGTCGCCCATCCAAACAATAGCCAGGCCCAACTTCGCTTAGCCCAAGGGTGGTAAACGTGAGGCCCGCGAAATAATTTAGGTCTGGCCCTGCCAAGGCAACCGCAGGCGGGACTCGAAATTCAATAAATCTCGGAGCAAACCTGGAAAAGCAGTTGCGAGTAGCAGCAACGTCGTCAACACCAGCTGACATCATCACACGCCTCGCCAAAAGAGAAGCAGCTCCAGCCATCACATTAGGGGTGAGTTAATTAAATGTTTGACGACAAATATAACGGGCTAATTTTTAAGCTGATAATTTTGTATGGCCCGCGAATGATGTTATAAATATCCAAATGGCCCTTGGCAGAAAAAAAGATTCCCCACCCCTGGCTTAACCCATGGAGACCTAGATCATCCACGCTCTCTGCCGCCGTTACCACTGCTGGCCTAGAGCCCCCGTGCGGGGGAATTCCACATTCTCATGGAGGCGGCCAGTCCATCCATCGACACGACACAGTCACTGCTGACTTCCCACGATGTGGTACTAAATTCGTCTACCCTGTACACACGGCGACGACGACGATGACGGCAGACCACAGCTTCATCCACGCTGGATGTAAAGAATAATAATAATACTAATACACTGAGAGCCCTTTCTCAGTCCACTGCTGGATGAAGGCCTCCCTCCCACGCTGTTGTTGGTCACGGGGATTGATGAGCATACTTCACCGCGCTGGTCAGTGTGCACTAGAGACAGAAGACAGGGTGGAGGAGTCGTGGGGGGGGGGGGGGGGGGGGGGGGGGGGGGGGGGGGGAGGGGGGCGGGTACCCGGACTGGTTGAGATATCACTCGCCACTGATGTTAGCCGTGGTCGGGTATCGAACCTTTCTGGTCGCCGGATTAATGGCGCAGCGTGCTAACCGCCGCGCCACCGGCACACTTGGGACTTGCGATCCAGAGAAGCCGCCGGTTCCAATCAGATCTCCCCGGCGTGGCGGGCGTAAAATAGCAAGGGAAGTAGCCCTCGAAAGTGGCCTGGCCCTCTGTCCCAGCCAGCGGTATTTCAATCTGTTCCGCCGGTTCGGCCCGACGAGGCGAGGTTCGCGTTGCGGGTGGGGAAAAGCGTGGGGTACTCACACCTACCGGGAGACGTCTGGCCAGCGTGCGTGAAGTAGACCCACAAGTACCCTCCTCTGGAGGTGGGGGCGGGGCGGGGCGGGGCGGGGCGGGGCGGGGCGGGGGGGCTCTGTCGCGCTCCCTCTAGCGGAGGATGATCCGTCAGCAGCGGCTCGAGCAGGCAATTGCAGGGGCCGCGCCTTTAACATTGTTTACATTATTATTAATGTTATTAATATCACTTTTTAGGTGTTTTTATTCCCCCCCCACCCCACCCATCCACCCACTCTGAAAAAAAGTTGTCGATTTTTTTGCGTAAAAAAAAGACACGCACACACACACACAAACCCACAAATTTAAATTAAAACACGAAAACGTCCCGCACGCGGACACGCCACGAGCCGCGATCAGCCCCCCCCCCCCCCCCCGCCGGGCAGATCACGTGGTCAACGCCGGCACTCGCCTCGACTCCTCCGCCTCCACGATGGCAACGACCGTCGCCAGCTCGTCGCCCGAATCCCCAGGGCCCATCCCGTGCTCGTCAACATCAACAATACCATCGTCACCATCGTCACCGTCGTCACCGTCGTCGTAGCTATCGTCGTCACGGCGGCTGTCGCTAAGGCAGTGGCGGCGGTTGAGCGATGCGGTGGCGGCGGGGGCGGGGGCGGGAGCGGCGTTTGGGCGAGCGGCGCCACCGGTCGCGGCCACCGCGGCGGCTCCTCCGCTCGGCGTCACCGTCGGCGGCGGCGGTGACGCCGCCGCGGGCCCCTCTGGAGCTTTCGGGGCCCCTCCGTTGATGAGAGGCTGCTGCTGCGGCTGCTGCTGCTGTGGCTGCTGCCGGTACCTCTCGCCCCTCGGCCCCAGCGACGGCGACGAGGTGGAGCACGGCGAGCGATCGGCGGCGACGACCGAGGGCGCCGCGTCCGTCCTCTCTCGATCGGGCTCGAAGCCGCTGAGCCGCCGCCGGCGTCGAGACGCGTCGCCGCAGAGGCGGCCCCCGCGTCCGACGCCGCCGCCGGAGCTGCCGGAGCTGCGGGAGCTGCGGGAGCCGGCCCAGCGGCCGCAGAGCCGCCGGCACAGCGACTTGCGACAGAAGATGTATATCCAGGGGTCGAGGATGGGCGTGATGGTGTACATGCGCAGGCCGAGCAGGTCCAGGGCCTCGTTGGCCGGAGCGCCGCTCGCGTTGATGAAGGCGCGGATCTGGTAGGGGGCGGGACGGAGACAGAGACAGACGCGAAATGTTGTGAACTGGACGACAACAGCACAAGTAATAATTGTACACATCCCATCAGTAACACGGCCTTTCCTGCGTCATTTAAAGTCTGGACCAGTTTCGACGCTCCAGTGTCTCATCAGCAGCAGCGGCAGCAGCGGCAGCAGCAGCGGTAGAGTCAGGCTTGCTTGGCTCTACTAATGCTGGAGGAAGAGTAGGAATAGTAGTATGAGGAGTTGGAGTAGTAAGAGTAGGAGGAGTAGGAACAGTAAGAAGAGGAGCTACATCATGGGACCTCCTTTGCCAGTACAAAAATATGAGAATAGGTTTTTTCCCTTTATTTCTGGCAACAAAACTGTTGTGTTAAGGTGTTGAAACAACAAACTGAAACCTTTTACAAGGAACCATGTCTGCATTAACCACAATGCTTGTGGTCAGAATGCAAACAAAAAACAAACTCTGATAATGAATGCATTGTCCTTGAAACTAATTGGTACACACCAGAGACAGCTTTCTTTTGAGCCTCGTCCCAAACGGTGTTAGGCCAGAGGACGCCAAAAAGGCGTTTTGGCGTAAAAGGTTTCAGTCTGGTGTTTTAACATCTTAACACCTGTTTTGTTGCCAGAAAAAATGGGAAAACCTCTTCTCACTATAAAGAGGAGTAGGAAAAAGAGTAAGAAGAATAGGAAGAATATGAAGAGTAGTAGGAGGAGTAGGAAGAATAGGCCAAGAACACGTCCTACAGGAGGAGGGAGGCTCTCTCTCGAGCTCTCTCTGGTGGAGGTTCCTTCCGCCGGCAGTGGCACGAGGAGAGCAACTGCAGGGGTTGCGCCTTCACCTCCACTACAGTCAGCAGTGGCACGGGGAGAGCAACTGCAGGGGCTGCGCCTTCACCTCCACTACAGTCAGCAGTGGCACGGGGAGAGCAACTGCAGGGGCTGCGCCTTCACCTCTACTACAGACAGTAGTGGCACGAGGAGAGCAACTGCAGGGGCTGCGCCTTTACCTCCACGACAAACAGCAGTGGCACGGGGAGAGCAACTGCAGGGGCTGCGCCTTTACCTCCACGACAGACAGCAGTGGCACGGGGAGAGCAACTGCAGGGGCTGCGCCTTCACCTCCACTACAGACAGCAGTGGCACGAGGAGAGCAACTGCAGGGGCTGCGCCTTTACCTCCACTACAGACAGCAGTGGCCGTGCTCTGGCAAGGGCGCCCGAGCGAAGGAGATTTTTTTGTTTGTTTTGCAAAAGTAAAACTTTAAAAGTAAAACTTAACACACAAAAATTAAGCCAATAAAAAAAACCAAATCTCTCAACCCTGCACGCACGCCTAAAGAAATACCCAACACTTCCTCTTCTCTCAGCCTCCAAGTGCGGAAATTCCATTTCGCAAACCAGAATAGCGGCTACTTTATTATTATTATTACGACGGTGTGCGTGTTACGGGGGGTTGGGTGGGGGGGTGAAGAGTTCCTTGGCAGTCCCCAACACAATGCGAGAGCCCTGGGATCCTTCCACCCCCGCCCGCGCAAAGCCTTTCAATGAAGGGGAGGGGGTGGGAGCCGGGGGGCGGGGCTAAGACCCAGGCTGCGGCATGGATACCGTGCAGGAGAAATGACGAAATGTGTGCGGGGAACGATACACAACGCCAAACAACACGTGCCTGTTACGTGCGCGTCTGTGAGTCTCTGTGCACCTCTATGGGTCTCTTTCAGCAGACTCTATGCAGGTAAATGGGTCTCTATGGCAGTCTGTGAGTTATATGCAGGTCAATGGGTCTCTATCTGAGTCTATGGGTCTCTATGCAAGTCAGTGGGTCTCTATGTGAGTTTGTGGGTCTCTATGCAGGTCAATGGGTCTCTATCTGAGTCTGTGAGTCTCTATGCAGGTCAGTGGGTCTCCATGTGAGTCTGTGGGTCTCTATGCAGGTCAATGGGTCTCTATGTGAGTCAGTGAGTCTCTATGCAGGTCAGTGGGTCTCCATTTGAGTCTGTGGGTCTCCATGCAGGTCAATGGGTCTCTATGTGAGTCTGTGAGTCTCTATGCATGTCAGTGGGTTTCCATGTGAGTCTGTGAGTCTCTATGCAGGTCAGTGGGTCTCTATGTGAGTCTGTGGGTCTCTATGCATGTCAGTGGGTCTCTATCTGAGTCTGTGAGTCTCTATGCAGGTCAGTGGGTCTCCATGTGAGTCTGTGGGTCTCTATGCAGGTCAATGGGTCTCTATGTGAGTCAGTGAGTCTCTATGCAGGTCAGTGGGTCTCCATTTGAGTCTGTGGGTCTCCATGCAGGTCAATGGGTCTCTATGTGAGTCTGTGAGTCTCTATGCATGTCAGTGGGTTTCCATGTGAGTCTGTGAGTCTCTATGCATGTCACTGGGTTTCCATTTGAGTCTGTGAGTCTCTAAGGAGGTCATTGGTTCTCCATGTGAGTCTGTGAGTCTCTAAGGAGGTTAGTGGATCTCTATGTGAGTCTCAATGCAGGTCAATGGGTCTCTATGTGAGTCTCTATACAGGTCAATGGGTCTCTATGTGAGTCAGTGAGTCTCTATGCAGGCAAATGGATCTCTATATGAGTCTGTGAGTTATATGCAGGTCAGAGGGGCTCCATGTGAGTCTGTGAGTCTCTCAGGAGGTAAATGGGTCTCTATGTAAGTCTGTGAGTCTCTAAGCAGGTCAATGGGTCTCTATCTGAATCTGTGGGTCTCTATGCATGTCAGTGGGTATCCATATCAGTCTGTGAGTCTCTATGCAGGTCAATGGATCTCCATGTGAGTCTGTGGGTCTCTATGCAGGTCAATGGGTCTCTATGTGAGTCAGTGAGTCTCTATGCAGGTTAGTGGGTCTCCGTGTGAGTCCATGAGTCTCCATGCAGGTCAATGGGTCTCTATGTGAGTCAGTGAGTCTCTATGCAGGTCAGTGGGTACTCTGTGTGAGTCCGCGAGCCTCTACGCGAGTCCGAGGGTGTCTCTGTGAGTCCACGAGCCTCTTCGCAAATCATCGGCGACCGGGCCGAGATTCCCAACTCGCACTGCACCAAGGACCCCGGTTCCAATCGTCCATGGGCAGCCTGGAATCCAGATTCGAGCCCAAGATTTTTCATCAGTCCCGACTCAGCAATTACACCTCCCACAACACCCCCCCCCCCCCCCCCCCCCCCCAGAATCCCTCCCCTCCTCCTGAACCCCGAATCACCCCGGCACCGCCACAGCTCACAAGGGACTTCATGGCGAGGCTGACCCCGGTGTTGCTGTCGTCGCCTAACGAGCGGAGCGGGCGAGCAAGCGGGCGGAGGAGTGAGCGATTGAGACGGTGACGAGGAAGGAGGAGGAGGGAGGGAGGGAGGGAGGGAGCAGGATGGAGGAGGGAGGAGGAGGCAGGTAATGGTGCGGAAACTCTTGATGCGACCTCGCGGGAGCGATGGGCGAATTGGGGAGCTCTCGGCAGAGATTCGCATCCAGCACCACCGTGTTTATAGATCTCTTGGTTCCACGCTTCGATGCGTATTTATTTTGCTTTCTCAAATAATTGGGCCGGCACAAAATATGAAAAAAGAACTCCATTATTGTTCGCATTATTATTATTGTTGCTGCTACACGGGTTTATTTTTCTCTGCAGTGGGCGCAACCTTGAATACCCTTTTCATCATGGCCAGGCGAGTGTTGCAGATGTAATCAGGAAGAGCGGGGGGGGGGGGGGGGGGGCTGTGATGGGGGGGAGGGGAGAAGTGGGGGAGAGGCGGGGGGATTGAGACGCGTGATGTGCAGGATGAAGGAGCAGGAGGATGGGGTAGGCAACTTGGAGGTTGGGAATAGGAGGAAATGATGATGGGTGGGATGCGTGGTGTGCAGTGCAGAGGAGGAGCAGGTTAGGCCAGCCAAGCCGGGGCCGCAGAGATGCCCCCAGAGGTCGGGCGACCAAGCAGAGGAGGAGACGCGGAGGGGGCGATGAGACCGCACGAGAGAGGCGCTGGAAGGACGTGGCAGCACGGACACACAATGTGAATCATTCGATGGTCACGCATCGTGCGGAGTCAATATTGGCGTTGATCAATCATCGTTACAAATACATTTTTGAATATATAAAGCCACGGGTGGATTAGTGGCACAACGGTCAGCACACTGTCATGTGGGTCGGTGCATTGACGACACACGTGACTGCGCAGCCACGGACCCGCCACCACTGCCACCACAACAGCCACGACCAACAACCACTACCGCCACTACTTCAACCACCACAACCATCACCACCACCACTGCCGCCACCACCACTTTCTCGCACTCCTCGGCCTCTGAACGTCGATTGGCCACGCGGGGGGGGGGGGGTGGAGAGGGGGGGCTGCTCGCCGTCCCGCAGCCTCCTCCGGAGTTTCCGCCGATGTCACAAGAAACAACCCCCCCTCCCCACTTCCCCTGTCACGCGAGAGATGAACTTGTGCCGCACGGGGACAGCTCCCGCCTGGGGTCCCCTAGGCTGGACGAGGAGCGGGGTAACGGAAAGGGCTCATGCGGCTCCTTCGGCAGCAGCATTGGCGGAGTCAGCCGTGGCAGCAGCAATGTCAGTGTCAGCCGTGGCAACAGCATTGGCTGTGTCAGTGGCAGCAGCATTGGCAGTGTCAGTAGCAGCAGCATTGTTAGTGTCAGTGGCAGCAGCATTGTTAGTGTCAGCCGTGACAGCAGCAATGACAGCGTCAGCCGTGGCAACAGCATTGGCTGTGTCAGCCGTGGCAGCAGCATCAGCATCAGCATGGAGAGCGGCTTCTAGGGTAGACAAGTAATGGAAAGTTCAGAATCGGTGATATCGACGGAATAAATACGAGCAAGAGAGAGTGAGAGAGACAGAAAGAAAGAGCCAGAGAGAGACAGACAGACAGACAGAGATAGACAGACACACACACAGACAGAGAGAAATACGCGCGCACGAATGGTTGTCAGCTGGAGTTGTCCCGCATGTGAGCGCTCTGAGGAGTGATGAGGAGCAGAGTGGTGGG